TTGCATTAATGAGAAATTTAGTATGGTGTTCCTAATAATCCTTTAGGTGAGTGTATGTACATTATGTGCTGTATTAGTTCCTGTATTTTTCCCTGCTTTAGCTCTTATTTTCTACCACCCTTCCAGCATGCCCCACCGCAGCAATCTGCTGTAATGCTGGAATAGGCAAGGACATTCACACTTGTTAGGATAAGCACTGTGCCTTTCTGGGGCAGTGATGAACAGAGGGCTGGGTATAGCACTCTTTATTTTCATTTTACACCTTTTATTTGAACATTGACATTTTGGATTTTTTTCAGATTTTTGTCTGTTGTTGTTTACAGTAATGAATGTGTTATTTCCGTACACTGAACTACAGAGTTATGTTCCCCTTGCCCACATTCTCTTTAACTGCTAGACTTTCAGTTTGGCAGTAAAGGCATAGCTGTGTCATGAAATTAATAAGCATGATAGACTAATGCGTGTGTCAATCGGGGAAAAAAATGAGTTCATATAAACCAAGCTTTGAATTTCCTTAATGTTTCTTTAATGTAGTTCACATAGACAGGTGGGAAGTGCTTGCTTGCACCAGTTAAATGCTCCAAAGCCACTAGAAGAGTGATTGTAATGAAACAAATAACTGAAAAACAGATCATGATGATGTCCTCAAAGCTTCTCGTGGTCAGGATTGCAGCTGCCGGACACCCAGCAGCTCAGACAGGAAATCTTTTTCCTTGGCTTCCAGCTCTAGTTCATTCTGGGGAGTTTATAAATCTCCCAAAGCCAGCTGGTAGATGTAACCCCCGCAGTGTGTCTCGGGTCTCCCTTGGGTCCGCTGCCCGTTGGGACATACATTGGGACCCATCCAGCCGGCATACTCCTAAGATGCCTGAATTACCTTATGAGTCCTCTCGATTCAAAGAGGCAGCAGCTCTACCTTAAGGTTCCTCTGGATCCAATATCCTCATCCTGTCATGAAGAGTGAGTCTAGAAATGCTGTGGAGAAACACAATTTCATCTGCTCGTACGTGTGGTCTTGTTATTTTGGTCATGACCCAGAACTCAGGAGCATAGCTGTGGATAAGAATATAGATTGTATAGAGTGTAGATTGACGGTTGAACTGTTAGTCTCATCTTATGACTTAACTACTGCGTTACCACTGCTGCCCTCCACAGTGTAGGTAAAACTGCAGACACCAAACCAATCCAACTATCCATTACCAATCTCCCATGACCTTATACTATCACTTGAATGAACAAGGTCCTAAAATTTTGAATACAATATTTAAACTCCTTCACTAAGGACAGACTCTAACCACTCACTGGAAAGAAGTGTTCTACTCCTTTCCAAGATACTGTCATGGCCTTGGATTTGAAGGTGATCTTGTTAATCCTCCCCTGCTTCTCACTTGGTATTATTCAGTAGTGCTTAAGGTCAGGGTCAAATGAGGCCAAGAGTATGACATCATCTGCAAGTACCAGGGATGTCATCCCCCCCCCCCCCCCACCCCCCCATACTGGACATGCTTCCAGTCATGGCTGCATCTTGATATCCTGTTAATAAAAATCACTAATGGGAGTGGAGACAAAATGCCCTTTTGACTGTGGCTAACACCAGCACTAATAGCTTTGATTTTATGCCAATGATGTGAACATAACTTATGCTTCATTCATATAGGGAAAGAGTAGCATGCAGATACAGTGTCAATGGTCCATATTCCTGGAGCATATTCCAATAGAATATGTTAGCATATTCCTGCAAACCGTCATATAGCTATCTGAGAGTTTTCACTGAGTTGTCTGACAGCCAGGCCAGATTCTGCTTTGAAGTTCCACCATCTGGAAGAGTCTCCACTCCTGTACCCTGACATAGGCTTTTCCAGGGAACCTGGACTGCTTATGTGGGTCATCCTGGTCTATTTGGCATTTTCCCTCTGCGTCAAATCCAAATTAGCACCTTGTGGTGACTGGTTGTTAGTTTACCCTCTTTCTTCACCAGAGTGTACAAAATACCAGGTTGAAATCTCCCAATATCACCACAGAGTCCATAGGTGGTACCATTCAGCATCTCACCACTTACAAAGGGGACTGTCACCTTGATGAGCCACAGCTGTGAGTTGGAGCAGCAACGGACTGGGTGTGTCAGCTGAGTCATGGCCTTGCATTTGAAGGTGCATAAGCGCCAATAACAGTCAGAGTTCATTTCTCTGTAACTCTCAGTCACATAGAGGCAACCTTCACCGTGGGGGAATATTTCAGCTGTACAGCTATCAGCCTGAGGCTTGTCAGCATCTCCACATCCTCCAGAGGTATTTCTTTAGGAAAATCTAGAGTAGATGAGACTCCACCATTGATGAAGAGGTCTCACACTGCATGATCAGTGCTTATATCTACAGTATCACCTACTCTAACTCAGGCTCTTTCCCAGACAGAGAGGTGACCCCAAAAATATAGTCCATAATCCATCTGGGTCCTTCCTGCTCATTTTTGCTACCCAAATGGTACTGCACCAGATTACCAACGTTCATCTTGCAGGTAGATAAGCCCACAAGATGGCTTCATGTAGCCATTTTCAGTTGACCCCGGCCAGATTACATGAGTGGCCACCAGCAAACACCACTACAGACACCACACAGCATTTTTAGAAACAGGCCTTTCTTTGGTGGCCTGTTTCTGGCATCTCCTTACACATCCCTTTGCTGGTAGAACACAAGCTCCAGAGAACATAGCTCTGTGGAAATTGAATTTGAACTTGATATTAAAGATTTATTCACGACAAGAGTGTACTGCATTCTCTTCAGAATCCCCTTCCTTTATGAATTTCCATAATGTCTCCATAACAGTAGTAGAATAACGGAACACTTATGCTTTTTTGATTATGCATACCAGCCACATAACCTATTAAAAATATGCTGCATTCAAAAATGACCTATTATAACTTTAAAGTTTGGTTTAGTTTCTAGACTGCCATGATTTACAAAGTTTGCAGTTAATATAATTGATATGCACTTAAAATGTGTCTCATCCCTGCGCCTTTCATTTTTGCTATATATTTGGGTTTTTGTGCACAGCACACTTTTGCAATACTGTTTCCAATAAATGGTGTTAGATAAATGTTTTAAAGCCACCAGCCATTTTACCAATGAGCTGAAATAGCCTAACTATTAAAGAATAAAGTTTGGTTCTGCTTTTTTCCTTTGTCTTTGTAGAGGATGTTGTGTAACAATGATATAAAATAGGATGAGTGTAATTAATTTGAATTTCTTGCAGAAATGCCACATTTTAAGTCAGTAGAAAAATTTGAATCATCGATCAACACTAACCCAGTGCTTAAACATTGTTAAAAATAAAGATATTCTGGCATTATTTCCCAAAAGGGGAGCCAGAAACAGTAGCATAGATTCAGATCTAACACAGAGAATGGAGACTCATATCACAGTGCACTGTATCTGTGACCTTGACTTACACTTTACTACACTGACTAAAGTATTGATTGTATCTAATGGGTGAAATATAATTTGTGACACATGAATCCCCAGAAGTCAAGTATTGACTGCTTTTTCTGCTTAACAGAAAGGATAGCAGGTCAGTAAGTGGGTCAACTGCAATGGTAAATGAACTAATATTTAAGATATCAGGATTCTTCTCTTAGGCTAATGTTTGGCTCAGTGCAATCTTAATAACTGTATTAAGCAATTAACAAATAATTGTTTGGAATTTTCAGTCCTTTTAAACATTTCCCAGATAATATTGAACAAAATGGTTTTATAGGCTTTTTAAAGTTAATTTTTGATTCAAACTTTCAGCTTTCCCCAGTAAAAATTTTGTATATGGCTGAATAAACAGTGAAAGAACAAACAATAATTACAACGCAGACATTTTCTTTGATATGTCAAAAAAATACAAAAGGGAATGGAAATCACCTCTAGTTTAATTTTTGGAGCCTGATCAAATGAATCATGAGTTGAACTCCACTGCACTGCTTTCTTTCAGGTCGGTCTCTTTGATGGTCCTTCTCCTTCCTTAAACCATGAGGGAGAAGATCTGTTGGTTTTGGGCTAGAGCTTTGTTAGGTTTTCAATGAGAATAATTCTTAATCCACAAGTACTTATTTGAAACATGGCTGGAGAAACAGGGACTCAGTTGGGTGATGGTGTGTGCATGGGGATATTTATGGCATCCATAGTGTAATGGTAGTAGGCTTGCATCTTACTTTCATTTTAGGCGACTGGACAGTTCCCAGCGCCTGGGGAAATGTATACACTGCTCTGTTCTGAGAAGGCACAGACACTAACTGAGAAGTGGCAAAATCAGAGGGGCTTTTTGACACTTGCAGGGGGCAACCATTCCAAAAAATTCAATCTTTTGGGTCCCTTTAAGAAAGAACGGGATACTAAGTTAGTAAACACTTGTGTATGAGTGTATTACTTTATGTTATGGGTCCGTCTGTCTGTCTGTCTATCTGCTCAGTAGGCAAGTCTTTGTGTCTGTGATCAGAAGGTTGCTGGTATGAGCCTGGCCTTGGCATATTTGCGGGTCCTTGAGCAAGGCCCTTAACCCCCAGCTCCCTGAGCACCACAACAGGCTGCTGTCCTTTGCAGCCAGCTGGCTTTCACCTACAGAGAGCAAGTTGGGGGAGGCGTAAAGAGAATTTCCCCATGGGGATCGATAAAGTAGCTATTATTAATAAAACCTTCACTGATTCTTGTTTTTGTAAGGCTTCCTGGAGTATTACCACTGCAAGTCGTTTCAAATTCCTTCAGATGTTCTTTGCATTTTCTTTAAAGTTTTGGTTGTGGGGCTAATAGCTGTTTCATTTTAATAATGTTTTCACAAACCAAAAGAAAAATGCCTTTGTAAGTGGCTGGCAAACTGCTGGTCAGGCATGAGTACTTGTGCTAAACATAATAATTACTATCCAGTAACAATTAAGTGCATTGTATTGTGCTGGTGGACCCTACAATTAAGCACATAATGTCACGTAATGTGTAAATACCGATACCTTTATAAAAAAACAAACAACCCCATGGTACATAGTCTAACGCTTTCTGAGTTGGTGATTGTACATAAGTAACTAGCATAAGACGTCTATCAACATACTTCATCTTCCAATTTCAGTCTGTTCACAGTTCTCCAGAGGAGTATATGCTATCTTCGGGTTCTATGACAAGATGTCCATGAACACGCTGACCTCCTTCTGCGGCGCACTCCACACGTCCTTTGTAACACCCAGCTACCCCACAGATACGGACGTACAGTTTCTCATCCAAATGCGGCCATCACTGCAGGGGGCTGTCCTAAGTCTGCTGGCTTACTACAAGTGGGAAAAGTTTGTCTACATTTATGACACGGAAAGAGGTGGGTTCAACTTTGTAATGTTTGCTTTATTTTTAGGCCACATAGTCTACTACATGTTTATATAAGGGGACAGATACCAAACATTTTTTATTTGAAATACATACAGACATCCCGCCAGATAAGGAGGCAGAAGAGGGACATGTGACACGTGAGAGATGGGGGGGGGGGGGTTGGGGGGTGTTGGCCAGGCTAACAATATACTTTATCTTTTGGGAGGTTGCGCATGATTCGTGGGTGTTAGGGAGCTGCTGTCAGTTTGTGAGAAGCTCCCAGAAGTTCTGGGAGATGTGGGATGCCTGTATACATTTTTTTATTGCGTGTGATCTTTCTGTGTTTGAGCAGGATACTTTCCACAGGCAAAAAGAAATCCTGCTAATTGCTCTCTCTAAATGACAGTGGGTGTATGGACCCTGCGATTGATGGGCATCCTGTTTAGGGCGTCCCCTCTCTTCCCTGCCCTACAAGTAGAATGGGAGGCTTGATTGAGTTTAGAGAAGGTATAACTGTTAGAGCTGGAGAGCTCTGGGGAGATCTGTTTAGGTGTGTTTTTGTCAGCATTTTCCAGAGCAGAGCCTTTGGGACAGGCTGTGTCCTCAGGCTCCTTACTCTGGAGTTGTACAGGTTCTCAGTTGAAGGAACATTTGAATACACATTGTAGTTTTCTTGTGGATACTGTGCCAGCAGGAGATGGACAGTAATGTTTGTAAGGTATCTGCTGTGGCGCATGATGCATCTGTATTAATAGCACAGCTGCTTGAACTCAGCTAGACTAGATAGTAATAACATTAATCTTTAAGTATATATATACACACATACATATATTATACATATACTCATATCAGTAATCCTAAATTGTGTTTATTAACACATTTTATTAATTTCTTGATAAAATTTACTGATAATTCTATGACCTTTTGTAACGACAGATGTAAGCCTAGATAAATAGAAAATCATCTAAAAAAATAACTTTCATAGCAATGACTGCATAAATCATAATACTAATTATAAATACATAATACTAATTATTTCAAGTCAAGATAGCATTATATAGGATAACACATGTCTGGGAATGTGAAAATATATACAATACAGTAATATAGTTTTTATCCTACTGTTTTTTATTTTTGCTGCTATATTCTTGTACTATCCACTGTGACAATGCACATTTCCCACTTGCGGGACTAATAAAGGATTATCTTATCTTATCTTATCTTATCTTATCTTAATAAAATCTTAGGCAGACAAAGACAGTGTTTAAGACCATTGATCTAGGTAGTAAGTGCATATTTGCTCAGAAAAAAATAATAACATTACAACACATGCAAATTAACGGTAACGCAATAAAAAAATAACAAGAATTTTATCTGTTCTCCAAAAAGTTGATTGATTGATCTTGTTGGGTAGCTAGATGAACCCTCTTCAGATCCCAAAGCTCTCCTCAGGGACACCTCAGCCATTCCATGAGTTTGTTAAATTTCACCTCCAGCTCAGTTAATTACATTTATTATTATTATTATTATTATTATTATTATTGAGAAAAGAAGGGTAGGACAATTGAGCCTCTTCCAACAACAAGCTCAGCATGTTAAGCCACTGAGCCACAGTCAGCTGAAAGGACTGAACTTAACATGCAATTTAAAGAATAACTTGCGCAGCTATAACTTGTACAGAATGATTTGCACGAAATTCAGTATTTGCATAATAATGGGACATTTATGATTGCAATCCACCTCCACCTCTAAACTTTAGACAAAAGAAAACCAGGTTGTGGCCAACACATATTGCTTATATTTCATAGAAAAGAACCCCCCCCCCCCCCATTCTATTGTAAAATAAGATCTACCTACCTCTTGTGGAGATCTTACTAAGCTCTAGAGACAGACAGCTTTATCTGAGTCAGAGGCGGGCATTTTCTCATGCCAACACGGGGTGGAAAAAAAAACAAAAATAAAGAAATCAGGTCAACAAGCTGGGTCACATTCATAAAACTTAAAGGTCATTTCCAATCTAGGCCAGCTCCTTTCTCCAAAATATGGGTGATATGTTCTCATTATGGAGCCACTCATACAGTGCATATAGTGTAGGGTAACAGGGAGCCAATCCAATGATCCCCAGGGTGCCAAACTGAGTACATACTGGGCAAAAGAAACAGAAGATCACTAGACACACAGTGGGGCCTGATCCATTTCATCAAAAGGACTGTGGTAGAAAATCCCTTGGAGAGATAGTGAAAAGAGTGAACATGTAGACACCACACATATATAGCTGCTACAATTATATATGTAGCTGTTCATTCGTATTAATTGTATATCCCAACAGTTTATAAAAAACAAAACAGTTCAAAGATAGACCAAGCCTGAGATTAGGCTTCGATAATCTATATAGGTGCCTTGTAAGTATTTTCAGCTCGATGGCTACCCCTCTACCTGCATTTATTTGAAGGAACATTATAATAGTATTATGGCCCAGGGAAAGCGGTCATGCCTGCCTCCAGTCATCACTCCACACAGCTGCATCAACTAAACTATACTTAACTGTTATACTATAGAAACACACCTGCAGTATTTCCCATAAAATAACCTCTTTCATTACTGTACATCAATGTACAGCTGTACTTCACTGTGTTGTGTTGTGTTAATATATACATATCAGAAAGTTTAAAACAATGAGGCAAAATGCATGTGTTTCTACATTTGAAGATTAAAATCAGATTTACTTTGAAGAAAAAGCCGAAACCTATTGGATAATTAACAATTCACACGTGATTACTACATGGCAAAACCAAAACACCACAAAGTATTCATATGAGAAAAACATTTTGCATCGTTCACAGGCCTCTCAGTTCTACAAGCCATAATGGAGTCAGCGATGACAAATAACTGGCAAGTGACGGCACGGTCTGTAATGAGCATCGTAGACGCAGAAGAGTATAGAAGAATCATGGAGGAGATGGACAGGAGACAAGAGAAGTATTTCTTGTTGGACTGCAAAGTGGAAAGGATAAAGACGATTCTGGATCAGGTATTACCAATATAATACTCACCTCCAGGCCTGCGGATCTTGATAAATGTGCAAGAAATGAAACTAAATCCTAAATTCATATCTAAAACTAAGATGCTGTAACAGGCAATAATCTCAAACGGAATCTGGTGGAGGTAGCCTTTGACAGAATTTGTATTTTATTTTTGATAAAACCAAAATACTAGTCTCTATAGTTGAATTTGAAAGGCTTGGTCACATGACTATAATTAAAGGGTAACAGTATGAAACAGCACAATGGCTATTCTCTTTGAATGTATTCAATCATGCAGTGGTGTGTGTTAAAAACAAACACAACCAACAAACAAATCAATAAATAAAAACATCAAAAACATCAAAGAGGTTTTGGGATAGGCATCTAGAAGTAGAAGCTTTATTGGTGCTGAAACAAAAAAAAACAACAATTTATACATAATTCATGGAAGGAGGGACAATATTATTAATGCTGAATATTACGATTGCTCATTACATGTAAAATAAAAATTATATACGAAATATATAGTGCTATTCCTATCACCAATAGCATGCTGTATTGATGTCATTTTTAAAAACCCTCTAGGATTTTTGTTTGTTTTATTGTCACGGTACTGTAAATCCAGTTTACTTCTCTAGGTTGTAGCGCTTGGGAAGAACAGCCGAAACCACCATTACATTCTGGCTAATCTGGTGAGTTTTTGGCATTCACACATTTTGTTAGCAAAAAAACATACATACACATTCATAAAATGTAAGATCTTAAAGTACTTTATCCCAATGTTTATGAAATGCGGTGGTGTAGTGATTAGCACTGTTGATCTGCAACCATGGTTTGAATCTCCACCCATGGCTCCATGTGCTGTTACGGGTTTCTTTCTGATGTTCCTCCCACAGTTAAAAAAACATGCTAAATTAATTGTTGCTGATTTTTATGTGTGCGGGTGCCCTGTAATGGGTTGGCACCCCATGCTAGGTTATTCCATGCCGTCTGCCCGTAGCTTCCAGGATTGGCTCTAGACCCCCGTTACCCTGCATAGGATAAACATGGATGGATGTTTACAGCCAACTATATAATGTGCTTAAAAAATGAAATTAATTAGTATCGGTTTTAGTGTTTTACAAATGTTGTATACGTTAGCATAAAAGCAATTATCACAGGGTTTCTGAAGACAACAGCAGAGACGCAGTTTGTGTCCTATTACTGTACTCTGCATGTGGATGGACTGCCACCATAATGGCAGGTAATGAAAGTAGTGATTAGAGCCAGGCTACCAGCAGCTAGCTGTCTTTTGTGGTAGAAAGTTCACATATTTCCATCTCCTACAGAGAAGATGACCTTTTACGCATTAGCCGAAGGTCTTAACCATTGTAAAGGAGGACATTATGTGTGATGTGATAGTGTACTGAGGCAAATGGCACCACAATGTTACGAAGTGCAGAGCAGAACAGTGTGAACCTGCGCTTATCACAATGACGGTAAAGTGGACAGTGACCTCTTCAGTGATCAGAGAAAAACATCAAAAACGACAAAATTATCAGTAGACCAAAAGAAATAGCTTTAAGAAAATGTATCTGTTAGCAAAGGTATTGTGTTAGTCCATGAACCACGGACATTAATCTACTTTAGGCTGGAATTTTAAGTTCAGTGTTTTTTTGTCAGCTATGAAATCATCACCGCTAAGACAAAGCCACTCACAGCCACTGTGTGTTGGTTTTCCATTTTGAATAATTCTGTTTCCTTTGCGCCTCTTGTTTAGGGTTTTTCCAATATGAGCCTGGACAAGGTCATTGCCGGGGGAGCCAACATAACTGGGTTTCAGATAATTAACCCCGAGAAACCCATCGTACGACAGTTCCTCCAGCGCTGGAATCATCTGGATGAAAGAGAATTTCCAGAAGCGAAAGGCACGCCTCTGAAGGTAAGCAAGCGTAACACGCAAAGCGTGACCCATTAAATGATGTGTTCTCTTTTTTCTTGCTCTTTTCTTCTCCCTTGTTATTTTCGAGAGAGAGCTATTGACTAGGTAAAGTACATTATACAGTGTTTGCATGTGTGTATGTGTGTAAAAACAACATTTAAATGTCCCCAGGGCTGCTGGTGCCATGCTTGAAAAAATGCTTCTGATCAACACCAGTCTTAATATAGACAGCACAGTCCCTAAATGGATCTTCACTATAATATTAACCGGAGACTTGATCTGAGGCCTCAAAGTTTCTAGACAGCTGGATGAAAAAAGGGACAAAACTAATCAATACTTGGTGTTGTGTTGCCAGATGTACTTGGAAAGCCAATATAGTGAGCAAAGAGGTGCATGAAGGTTTATGACACCTCAGAAAGTAAGCCTTGGAGGACATGGCACTGGAACCTGAAGGGACGTTTTTAGCACCTGAAATGACTTTAGAAGCTAAATGTTGAGTAAACTGGTAATACTTTACTTTGTTGGGGCACAAATAATGTAGTATTATGCTGTTACATACTAATGAATTGTGATGCCTGTTGTATCTCAAGCAGTTACTATATTTGTTACTATATCTGTTAATCCTGCTTCGTGGAATACCCCCCTGTTCCACCACAAAAGATTCAACTCGAGAGCTGTGTGACAATTAGCACAAACGAGTTGAATCAAGTTGCGATAAACAAGGGGAAACCCAAAAATGTGCAGGACTCCGGCCCCCCAGGACTGGAGTTTGACACCCCTGATCTAGTGAGAGTCACGGGAATGGAGGGATCGTGATGTCAAAGTTTGATGTGAGGAGTCAATCAATGTGTAATTTGGGGAGAAGGAAGGAAAGAAAAGGAGAAAGAAATGAGAGAGAGAAAAGCAGAGACAGGATTGTATTGTGTTGCAAGAAAGATGGAGATTTGAGTGTTAGGGTTTGTTTGCGTGTGGTTGAGTGTACGTGGCATTAGCCTGGTTGTTTTTTTAGGTTAAGATTGTGTAAGTATGGTTCCCAGTTTTTCTCAAACAGAAGTATATTATTATTATGTAAGGCTATATTTTTTCCATGGATATGTATTCTACCATTAGATTAGTCCAATGATTTAAATTGAGCGTGTTTTTGGATTTCCGGTGTTGAAGTATTGCTTTTTTGGCAATAGAGAAATAAGTATGTTATTCTTATAAATGGATGGTGGGTTTATCTGTGTGAAATCTCCAAGCAAAGAAAGTCAAGGTGAAGGGGAGATTCTGCAGTCTAGGATGGAGGTGAGTTTTCCCATGATTCCTACCCAAAAAGTATGAACAGGTATACAGGCCCATACAGCATGCAGATCACACAGATCTGTGACACCAGTGGTGCCCTGTGAACAGGTGTCAGTGCTGATGAGTGCTATATGAATGACTGTGTATTGGATAAGCTAAAGGTTGGTATTTGTTATTGTGAAAATGCTGTTGTGGACTTCCATCCAGAAATCAGGGTTGGGGGGAACGTTAAGGTCCCTATTTCAGTTAAATTTTGGGACAGATATCAAAGTGTATATTATATATTATATATTTTAGAGGTCAGTTTCTTTTTTTAAGTTGGAGAATATCATCTAATCTCTAAGGAGGGTGAAGTGTATTATTTGTGATGCTAATTTTAGTTTTGATGGTGGATTTGATTTGTAAATATTCCAAGCACTGCTTATTCTCAATTCCGTATTTCTGAATTAAGTCTTTGAAAGGACTTTGAAGGTGCTGGAGATGTGTAATCCCTTTCTGTTCCCACAAGCGATAGTGAGTAGTGAGATTGTGAAGTTGGACGTCCGAATTATAACAGATTGGAGTGTATTCACATGACTTGAGAGTGGAGTTATTGATTTTGATTCCTTTCCACCAGGCTGTCAGTGTTGTGGAAATAGCAGTATTGATAAAGCAGTTATGTTTCTTTACTGAAATATTGAGAAAAAAGTATGTCAGCAAGTTTGAGATTTTTACAGTACAATTGCTCCAACCATAACCATGTGCTGCTGTTACTACTGCAGTGTAACCATTTAGTTAAGTATTGCTGTCCATTTGCTAAGTAAAAATTAAGAAAATTTGGAGCTTCTAATCCACCTTGAGATTTATTTTTCTGTAGAGTGTGAAGTGTTTTTGTTTTTCCAGTAAAAATGTGAGATTAAAGAGTTAGGAGTTTGTAATTATGGTTTTAGTATGAGTATGCTGAGCAATATTGACTAAATTAAATAATCTATGGATCTTTTCCGAGGTGTGGCGTATCTTGTCTTGATGAAGCCTGTCTGACCAGGAGATACAGTAGGGATGACTATCTCTAACCGAGCTTTTGTTATGATTTTCTTGTCTGTATTCATTAGTGAGAGTCTTTGGTAATCACAAACATACATCACACTAGGCATGTGTAAAAATAAAAGTTTACTGTTAAATGTTTAGCTTTAATGAAAATCATCATTTCCTACACAAGACTAACATTTATTCTTCTGTAAGGTGGAATTTTGTGCTTTGTACAACGGATCCTCATCTGAAATGGATATTTCATTGTGCATTCTTACTTTCATTATGTAAATGTGGTCTCGTATGATTCTACAAAGAATATTGACAGTGAATTTTTGGCAACACTTTGATCCAATCGGATTCCCCTTTTGTTTCAGTATACGTCAGCGTTAACCCATGATGCGATTTTGGTGATTACGGAAGCATTTCGTTACTTGCGACGGCAGAGGATTGACGTGTCCCGGAGGGGTAATCCTGGAAACTGCCTTGCCAATCCCGCTGTACCCTGGAGTCAAGGCACTGACATCGAGAGAGCCTTAAAAATGGTAAAACTTCTAAATAAAAAGTTCCTTATTTAAGAAATTCACATGGAATGACAATATAGTTCAGAAAGAAGAAATAAATCCGGTGATACTTTGGTCTTATTGTCTGATTGTACTGTTGTATGGCAGGTTCAGGTGCAGGGCATGACAGGAAATATTCAGTTTGATACTTTTGGCCGAAGGTCCAACTACACTATTGATGTATACGAGATGAAGACAGAGGGAAGACAAAGGGTAAGCAATTAGTGCCATTTCTGGATTTTTTTTCACCAACCTAGAGACCTCCAACAGTCCTTCTTTTGAAAAACTAATTTTACTTGCTGTTTATAGAAACTGTAGGAGGAGAGATCAAAATACTTATTATATACTCAGGGGTGGAACTAAAGAACGGAGGAATATACTAAAAAAACAATGGCATTTGCAAAGAAAGGCTAAAAGTGTTGATGGTAGAGCACCATCAATCAAAATCAATAACTCCACTCTCAAATCCTGCGATTTTGGAAAACTAGGCAGCTCCAATACCTGCCTACCCAGCAGGTACTAGCCAGCAGACGTGTTTGTGTGAAGATGTGCAGGGCTGGAAATGTGCAGAGGCTTCTGCGTTTGTCTGTTCACTGGTGCCCTCTGGTGGTTGTCTCTGCACTTTGAGGATGTGACACTTAGGGTCCAGTTTGAGTGTTTCTGTGATAGAGAAAGATAAAGATTCCTCGAGGCATCTACAGATAAGTTGCATGTGAAGCTGGAGAGTAATGCCTTGTGTAAACAAAACAAACATTTAATGTCATAATGGTGTGATTATGCTGATTTTGAGTTAAGGCATATGTAAGGACACCCTACCAGAAATACCCTTTTTTAAAATAAGAACTGCCACTAATTCTTGGAAAGTACTGGATTATTGTTTCTGAGTTGTTCCAGTCTTTAAGCCAAAGGTACTGCCTAACAACTGTTGTTTAGAATACCATGTAATTGAGATTGCCGTTTACTTGTCTCATCACATTTTTTTATTGAAACAATCAAAATGAAAACCATGTGATATTCTCAATATTAACAATGATTTATACATAATTTTCAGATTGGCTACTGGAATGAGTATGAAAGATTTGTATATATAATGAATCAACAAGTCTCCAACGAGTCATCTTCTGTGGAAAACCGAACAATTGTGGTGACTACTATTATGGTAAACTTTCAGTATAGTTATAAATATTCCATTTATTCCTGGTTATAATGATGATGCTGCCACATATACAATCTGCTTCATTTTGTTTTACACCTATATGTTAAGCATGTTCAGATAGTGAGTCTATATGTAGTCATAGGTTAACAAAGTATTTGACTTGGATGTTTTGTCTTTGCATTTTGATATTTTAGTGACAATAAGCTAGCACACAAAAGGCAATATCTGTAAATAAATGAGCAGTAACGGGTGAGATTGGTGAACGAAGCGCCAATGACGAAAATTAACCAATGGTGAAAGCCCAATTGGTGCAAATATAGCATAATTGTATTAGATAATATAGATTATAATTCAAATGTAAAACTATGGTTTAACACACGTTATATGATGATAACATTTGAAAAAATAGACTTTCCTAAAAAGAAGATTGTACATCTGATACCAACACGCCCCTCATAATTGTTCTTAATGAGCTAAAGAAAACTAAATTCTAGTAAGAAAAGCTATTTGCTATTCTTAAAATCCATCACAGATATTCCTGCTACCTCATTTGCTGAGTCAGGTAGACATTGTAAGATTCTTGTGTTATGCACTATGCAGTTCCTTCTGTGCAGTACAGAGTTTTGTCAAAGTGTGCACGTTTATGATTAACACCGCAGTGAAAATGCATTCACAAACATAAAACAGGTTACATTTAATTAACAGGAAGCTCCCTATGTGATGTTCAAGAAAAATTATTTACATCTGGAAGGGAATGACAAATATGAAGGCTACTGTGTTGATTTAGCTTCTGAAATCGCTAAACACGTGGGGATAAAATACAGACTGTCTGTTGTGATGGATGGGAAGTATGGAGCCAGAGACCCGGACACCAACGCCTGGAATGGGATGGTGGGCGAGCTTGTATATGGAGTAAGTAAAAGTATGGTAAAAATACAGTAATAATCTATTTCATGCATGTATCGTAAATAAACCATTACATCTTGTTATGCTTTTGTTAATACATAAATACTATACTCACACTCTCAGTTAGTTGACTGTTAATTTTTTTCCCCAAAAATTACTGATGATTTTTTTTTTTTATCATATCTATATAATTCCCAGTGCTTGAAGTGGGAAAAAATAAGTGCAGGAACCCTAATTTTCTCGGGCCACTGTCGCTGCGTCGGATCAGTTTCAGTAAGTACCGGAACGCAGAAATAAGTGGCGGAACCCAAAAGATGAAAATACAGAAGTTCCGGAACTGCGTTCCGCTGCGTTCCGGCCCACTTCAAGCACTGATTATTCCATTACACCAATAAAAAATACTGTACTTAACTCATAGCTAGTATATTAGTAATTTTTAATTAAATTTTAATTTTGTCACAATGAATGACTTTAGTCCACATTAGTTTATTCAGACAATATCAAAATACATTGGTTAGTAGAACAACATTGTTTTCCATAAGATTTTCCAAGTCATTACAATATCATCGATATTAATAAAATGTTCAGATAACAAAGGATTAAAAAACTAATGTATGCGCTATGTGTTCATTCTTCCAGCGAGCTGATATTGCTGTTGCTCCGTTAACTATAACGCTGGTACGAGAAGAAGTCATTGACTTTTCTAAGCCATTTATGAGCCTGGGAATCTCAATCATGATTAAGAAGCCCCAAAAGTCTAAGCCTGGAGTGTTCTCCTTCCTCGACCCCCTGGCCTATGAGATTTGGATGTGCATAGTATTTGCCTATATTGGAGTGAGCGTGGTGCTGTTCTTGGTGAGTCGCTTCAGCCCTTATGAGTGGCGTTTGGATGACAGTGATGAGGGTAAAGACTGTCAGACTGCACCGGACCCACCGAATGACTTTGGAATCTTTAATAGTCTCTGGTTCTCCCTGGGAGCCTTTATGCAGCAAGGATGCGATATTTCACCAAGGTTGGTTAATTCATCCATACCTATTCCCATTTTGCATTTTATAATCTTATAGCTGATCCCATGGTGTATATATGCTATAGTATTTCTCTTGGAACCACGTAACTTCCTTTTGTGTTCACCGTTCACCTACGTGTTCCCATAACACCGCTGTTCTTCATAATTTCTCGCTTTCATGGATGACCTTTTCTAAATAACATATATCCACCATGTTGGGGACTGTAAAATGCACCGGGTTGTTTGCTGGTGACTTTTGGTGTCAACATTTGGAGAACTACCGTGTTTTTGCTGCATAGTCTTTCCATACTCATCTGTTTCCATACGAAAGTAGAAAAATTTTATATATATATATATATATATACATATATATAAAGAATTGTATGCATATATACATTTTTCAGACCAGCAAGCCAGTGAAGCAGCTTAAAGCAAATAGCTATTCCATGATGCGTCTTATTCTGTCAAAGCCCCCTGCCATTTTACTATCCTGTCCATCCTCACATGAAACATAAAACCTCTCATGCACTATTGTTGTGGTGCCACTCTATACATGGAAGAATCAGCAACAGATTCATTGCTTTTTAACCATTACTGGTTGGCGTTTAAAGGTTAAAGCCCAGACTAGGGCATTTTATATTTATATTTATTAGCATCAAAATAATGTTTCTAGTCTGCTTGAAAGTTAAATGAGCCGGTGAAGAAATATCAACAAAGATTGTGTCATAGACCAGCTAAGGGGCTTCACTTCATGATTTCAGAATCACACTCAGAATTTGTGAAGGGCGTATACTACATAATATATAATGTAGTATAAGCCCTTCACAATTATTGGCAGATTTATAAAAAGGGTTAGAAAAAAATCCACCTTTTGGTGAAGCAGCTTCATGTCACACTGAAAAATTGAGAAAAATCCAATCTTTCATTAACAAAAATTTATTCCAAGAAAAAAAAATCCTTCATCAGGAAGTAATTATCTTTTACAGATACACATGTGCCACGATTATTGGCACCCCTGGAAATGATAGTGAACTCTAATGTAACTGAAGCATGTTTCCCCTGTAATTTGTACATCTTTGAGTTGAGTGGAGTGAAGAGGAACCTTCAAGCTGTAATCCATGACTTCCTGGTTAACAGGGATACGAACATCTGGTGACACAGAGCCCAAATTCCCTTAGTCATTCATCAACATGGGAAAGATATGAGAACATACAAATCAAATGAGGGAGGAGTGTGTTGACCTTCATAAGTCAGGGAATGGGTATTAAAAAATAGCTACCCACCTTAAAATGCCAATTTCTACTGCTAGTTTAATAATAAAAAATGTGGACAACAACTGGAACTGTTAGAAACCTGCCTGGAAGAGGACCCATGTTTATTTTTCCCCCATGTACAGTGAGGAGGATCATAAGAGAATCAAAAAAATCCCCAAGGATCAGTGTTGGTGAATTACAAGACCAAGTAAAATCTCTCTTAAAAATGCCCGCTTCATGCTAACAGATTATTTGGAAGGTATGCCAGAAAAAGCTTTTTTTTGTCAGTTAACCACAAACACCTGGAGTTTGCGAAACACTACTACAACTTTGACTGGAACCAAATTCAATAGTCTGATGAAACAAAAATGGAGCTTTTTGGCAATAAACATAAGGTGGGTTTGGTGTAAAAAGAAGGATGGTTATAATGAAAAGAACCCAACTAAAATATGGTGGAAGTTCTGTGATGTTGTTGGGCTGTTTTTCCTCCAAAGGCCCTGGAAACCTCGTTAGGGTACATGGCATTATGGACATGAAATACCAGAACATTTTAAATCAAAATTTGGCTGCCTCTGCTAGGAAACTAAAACTGGGCCATCATTGGATCTTCCAGCAGGACAGTGATCCCAAGCACATGTCCAAATCAACATAAAAATGGTTAGCTGACCACAGAATGAAGCTTCTGCCATGGCCATCTCAGTCCCCTGACCTGAACCCCACTGAAAACCTGTGGGCTGAGCTGAAGAGGAGAGTGCAGAAGAGAGGGCCTAGGAACCTGGGTGATCTGGAGAGATTCTGTAAAGAGGAATGGTCTCAGATGCCCTGCTCTGTGTTCTCCAACCTTATAAAATGTTACAGGAGAAGACTGAGTGCTGTTATACTGGCAAAGGGAGGTTGTACAAAGTATTAAGAGCAGGAGTGCCGATAATTGTGACACATGTGTTTTTGTTAAAGATAGATATTTCTTGATGAAGGATTTTTTTTTCTTGGAATAATTTTTTGTTAATGAAACGTTGGATTTTTCCTCAAGCGTGAAGTTTAATTGTGCATCACCTGCGTGATTATGTATTTCTGATATTTGAATACAGCGCAAAAAAAAATACTTAGATTAATCTATTTCGGTTTGTATGACAAAAAAGGAAGAATTTGTTGACCGGTGTTTTCATTTATAAACTATTTAAAATAGTCTTTACAGAAAAGGAAAGTGGGGCAGGTTGGGGGTGCAGCTGATTCGCACTGTTGCCTCACACTCCTGGGACCTGGGTTCAAGTCTGTGCCAGGATTCCATGTGTGTAGAGTTCTTCCTGTGTCATCATGGGGTTTCCTCCAGGTATTCCAGTCCCCCCTCCCACAGTCCAAAAACATGCTGAAGTTAATTGGAGTTGTCAAATTGCCCATAGGTGCATGTATGAGAGTAAGTGAATGGCGTGTGAGTGAATGGCGTGTGAGTGAATGGTGTGTGAGTGAATGGCGTGTGTGAATGGCGTGTGAGTGAATGGTGTGTGAGTGAATGGCGTGTGAGTGTGCCCTGTGATGGGTTGGTGCAAATAGGGGACATACCAAATACAAAGATTTCTGAAACTGTACATTTCTGCAAAGATTCAACTTTTCACTCAAATAGTGTTCCTGATAATATTTGTACTGCTTGAAATGAACATTTTCGTGTTAAATTATGAAAGAAAACAAAGTATAAGCATTTTTCTAGTGGTCTCAGACTTTTGTACCCCACTGTAGGTGTGTGTGTATAAAATCATGCATTTAACATTAATGTTATATAAATATATCATTCATTAGTGTTTACGATTCATTTTAAAATGATTTTTAAAAAGAAGTCACTTGGTGGCAGTGTTTGTAAGCAAATGACATGAAAATATAATACAACGCAAACTCATAAGCACAGGAATTTATTATTAATAATTTATATACACGATTCAATAAAAATGTCAAAGATGCAGATAGACATGGAAAAAAAAAGAAAATTTGAAGCTATTTTGAATCATTCATCACCAGGATCAAAATGATTCCTATACTACACATTCAATGCAATTAACTCTGCAAAAAATTTGAATAAACTATATGTACTTATAAAAGAATCAATGTATAATTTACCTGTGGTGGTATTCTCTTTGCAGTTTGTGTTGCATTTCACACATCCATTTCAATTTTGAGTTGTGTGCCTTCAGTACTGCTATAAAATGATTTGTAAAAAAGTAAAGAGACGTTAGAGACCTTTTCATTGTATTTAGATATGTTTTGAAAGGTAATATTTAAATTCTTTATTATCTTCTTGTCTCTGGATATTTAAATGTAATTGTAATTTAATTTAATATTGTGAATTCTTAGCATTTACAGTAAACCATCACCTTCCCTGGGGGCTTTCAGTCAGGGACGTCTAAATAGACCAGAGATACGGTTGTCCTTGACTGTTTTTTTTTTGTGTTGGGCAAACCGGGTGACAATACAGATATTTCACCTATTTTTGATTGGGTTTTTCTAATTCTGCTACTACTTTGCAAAGCCCCCGTTTACACTATTGCATTGCCTTGATTGTACTATACTCTACAATTGTATTTCTCATTCAACATAAATAAGGAAACTTTTTTTAATAATTTGGTGATTGTTTTATGCTGTTGATTTCATTGACTGGGGTAAATCATTCTCTGTAAGCATGGCCTTCTTCCTTTTGCTTTGTTCATTTGTTTATTTATTTATTTATTCTTTTTTTAGATCATTGCCAGGGAGGATTGTGGGTGGTGTTTGGTGGTTCTTCACCTTAATTATAATTTCATCCTACACTGCCAATCTAGCTGCTTTTCTGACCGTGGAAAGGATGGTCTCTCCTATCGAGAGTGCTGAAGACCTTTCCAAACAAACAGAGATTGCCTATGGCACACTGGATTCAGGCTCCACCAAAGAGTTTTTTAGAGTAAGTTTTCATTCTTTCTTCCATGAAAGTGGTATAATGGAGTATAATAAGTACTAGTGCGCAATTTGCTTTGTTAGATTTGTTCTTGTTAGGTTAATTTTTATTTTGGGGTGGCACAGTGGCACCATGGTTAGTGCTGTCACTTCACACTTCTAGAACCACGGTTGAAGTCTCTGCCACAGCTCCATGTGTGTGGAGTTGGCATGTTCTCCCTGTGCCGTTGTGGGGTTTTCTCCAGATACTCCAGTTTCCCCCCCACAGTCCAAAAACATACTGAGGTGAACTGGAGTTGCCAAATTGTCTGTAGGTGTGTATGGTGTGGCCGTGCCCATTTCTACATACCAGATACACAGTGGCCAGTTTATTAGACATACCTGCTTGTTAAGCAGTCAGCCTACTCCTTTAAACAGCATACTTTGTGGCTGAGAATAAACACATAGAACATGCAGACAGAGTCACAAGGTTCACTGACTGTTTGACTGACCCTTAGTATGGTGGCGACGTTAAGCGATTTCAGAAACAGGCATCTAACTGGAATTTCCGCATAGTACAATGTCTCGAGCTTACACAGATTGAGGAAATATAGAGCAAACATCCAATCAGCGACAGCTCTGTGGGAGAAAACGGACACACGGGTGAATGGTCAAACTCATCAAAGGTGACAAGATGACCATGAGTCCAATTAGGGAAGTCTTTACATGCAACCATACAGACGCATAATGCTGTTCTTAAGATTGCTTGTCTATGTACACATACACTGAGGGGATTGCCGAGAAAGAAATTTATATATATTGTTTTGTGATGTGATCTTTTGTGAAAAAGATTGCTCTCTTTTTATGAATACAGAACCATAAGACAATTGACTCAAGTCTTAATATTCAATGAAGGCAAGTTCAGTAAATTTGTGGGTTGAAAATTACATAATATTTCTCTTACTCCCCAACGCAGCGTTCAAAAATAGCAGTTTATGAAAAGATGTGGTCATACATGAAATCAGCTGAACCCTCTGTGTTCGCCAAGACAACACCTGATGGAGTCGCCCGTGTACGGAAGTCAAAGGGCAAGTTTGCATTTCTTCTCGAGTCGACTATGAATGAATACATTGAGCAGCGCAAACCATGCGATACAATGAAGGTTGGAGGCAACCTCGACTCTAAAGGCTATGGTGTGGCTACTCCGAAAGGCTCACCGTTAGGGTGAGTTGAGTCATGTAACTTTACTTAACAGTTATCATAGTATTCCTGTTACTTTTGTGTCTCGTGTTGTCACTTCTTTTCTTCTTTCTGCTTTTTTCTTTCTTCCTTTTATTTACATAATCTATCATTAGGCCATTATTTGTTGTCAATATCAGTACAATATATTTTTTCTTCCAATATAATATTTGAAAGCTGCTCTTTCAATTCCAGTGAAGTTTAATTTCATGGTGTTTGTTGTTTATTGTCTGTAACCTGTCTAGTGTCCACTTTCCCCATGTCTTACTTTTTAAATGTAGTTCCTCTTGCTAACTTTCTGATATATTCTTTGTACTGTAAGTTGTATCTGTGACTTTATCCGGCTTGTTATCTGGTGTCCTTTAAATGACTGGCGTCACATCTATGTCAATACTCAAGGGCGATAAAACACAAAGAGCGAAATACAAACCTACAAGTTTTAAAATTTTAAAATAATTAATAAACTATCCAAAACATGTCAAACTCAAAAGCAACAATTTCACTTGAGCACAGAGAGCAGCCGAATGTAATCCACTTGGTGTGTGGATATCTGTCAAATCTGGAAGAAAATAAATATTCAAGAAGGAAAAAAGTGTTTGAGCGTTATATTATGACACACATGCAATTCTTCTTTCTATACTCGCAGATTTCATACTTGTGGCCACAAGTGGGATATTTACACATGCAAAAAATTGCAAGTTCATATTTTTAACTTTGTGTTTTATTGCTCTATAGCTTTGACATGGATCTGATGCCATGATGGTTACTTAAATGATCATTAATTGCATTACTCTAATTTCTATTATTTCTCGGATTTCTCTTGGACTTCCATATTGTCTTATGTTATGTTTTATCATTTCAAGAAATGCTGTTAACCTGGCAGTTTTAAAACTGAATGAGCAAGGCCTCTTGGACAAATTGAAAAACAAATGGTGGTACGACAAGGGAGAGTGCGGCAGTGGGGGAGGAGATTCCAAGGTCAGCCCCAGAGCTACCATAGTCAGGTACCATTGTGGAGTAATCGGCAACGCTGGTATCACCTGACTACCTCTGCAGCACATCATGACCTTAAAGCTGTCTGTATTTTCTCTTTATTGCACCACTGAGTTTCAACCAGGAACCCTTACTTGGAAAATGAAGTAAATAAATGGCATTAAATGGATTTCTGTAGGCAGTATTACGGAGTATTTTAAAAAATATATATGTTATTTAAGTCCTTATGTTTCTTATTTTATGTATATATGCATACTGTATTTATTTACCTAAACAGATGTTTTATCACCATGTGCAAAACAAATATATCGTAATTCTTTTGTTCTTTAGGGAGTTGTCTGTAGATATATCACATTTGAGTTTTAGAGATTTGGAGCATTACAAGATTATATGATATTTCTAATTACAGAAAAACAAAGTTAGCTACATCTAGACATTTTAACAAGCTTTGCTAATCTTACAAAGACACTAATGTCTATTCAACCATCCATCCATTTTCTGAAACTGTCTGTCCTATTCAGTATTGCAAATTATAAACTTGAGTCTCATTTGGACAATTTAGGTTATGAAAAAATAAAAATTAGGGTATAAACAGCTATTTTCCAGTGTTAAAGATGCAGATAAAATCCTAGTATGTGTTCAGTTCCCATCAGTTACTAAACTGGAGTTTGTTCGGTGTCAAATGTTCTCAGTGAAGCCCCATTTGTGACGTGTTCAGTAAGGCTGCCATTGAACTAGGTAAGAAGGCGTCAGTGGTGTGGGATTACGTTTTGCTGATTTATGTCTGACACGTTTTTTTAAAAAATATATAGTTTTCATTTTTTATTTCAGTTCACAAATTATTTTCTTTTATTTAGTGCCCTTTATTCTGGCAGTCCAGAATAGCACCTGTGTGTTTTCTCTCTAGGCACTTGATTTAAAATATCAATGTTGACACATTTTCAGCATCGACATCATCGACTATGTCGACTAATCGTGGCAGCCCTAGTATTCTGTGTTCCCTCATGTTTGTTTCAAGTGTTTCAAGTCCTTGTTAGTTCTCTAGTTACTTGCCTGCCTGTTGTCTAGACCCCTTGAGGTCCTGTTCTGTTTCCACTTCTTTTGAACTAAGTTCCCTGTGCCTATAACCCACATTGTGGACCATGGATTATGTATCATCGTGACCTGCACAAAATATAATTTTTCATGCATCCATAGTTATGATCTATGCTAATATATGAATTGTTTAGTTTCAATTGATAAATTTTCTGTATTTGCATGATTTGTTAATAGGTTTATTCACCAGTCATACAATTTTATTTAACTGAATTAATATCTGACTAATTTCTGGATTGTTAGTCTCTCATCCATCCATCCATCCATTAAAGGGGTGAGGGTGAAGGACCACTAAATGGCATCAGAGTGTATCACAGGACACACACTCACATACATAGACTGGCATCCCATCCTACAAGCCCCTTACCATGTTCCCTGTGTACCCTGAAGCTAATAAGCAGTTATGAATGAGTTTCAAAGCACTATGCATTAAAACAAAAACAGGAATATGAAAGTAAATTGCTAATTTCAGGAATTTTCCTCATCAATGCCAGTTACAATGTGTTGAATCTCTCCCAGTAAGTTGTCTGTTGCCTTGTGCACATTTTTTCCTCCGGAAGGAACAGCTGCCATTTTCATTGGTTCTCATCTGTTACTTAAGGAAGGGTTCCTGCTAGATCAAATTTCTGGTTTAAAATATCCACGTGTAATTACTGATAGTGTCCCCTGTTGATTTCGCATGGTGCGCTGCTTTCTAACAGTGTGTGCCGATTACTAAAAGCGATATGAGTGGGCCCTGGTACCTAGCTTTCGGTCTACTGTATAATGGGCATTGTATTCACTGTTATTTATAGGGACAGGGTCCTGCTTTATCGCTTATAAATCTGATGTTATACATTGGATAACATAAATAACATTATAACAAGATAATGTTATTTATATTATTTCCCATGTGAAGAATTCCTGTAAGCCTTGAAACGTAATGAACAAGTCATCTTAAACAAGCTGGTGGTATGATAATGGTGAATGTGGAACCAAGGAGTCTGGGAGTGAGGTCAGTCGTTTGAATACAAATCATCTGTCTGTCTGTCTATCTATCTCTCTGCCTAGCTATCTGTCTGTTCCAAAATTACTTTTGTCTTCAAAGTATTAGATTTTTTTGCTTTATTAACCATTATTAGCAATAAAATGCCATGTTTCATGACTGTTTGTGAGATGGACTACTGATTTTTTTAAAGATTTGATTTGATTTGATTGCAGGGCTACTTTCTTTTGATCATAAGAAAAGGTTAAATTGTCATTGACTGATGCCTGTGCTGAGTGCCCTGTTTTGCATAGTCAAGGATAAGAGAAAATGGTTTTATCATGTGCATTCAGAAATGCAGTTTAATGAGAGGTGTCACAGAAGATTGTTTGTTTCCGACCCCTTCCAGGCTATTGAGCAGTATTGAAAGTGTCTCACTTTTCGAAATAAAGAGTAAAACATGGCATTAAAAGGGGAAATCATCATAGAGGAAAGCAGAGAAATGTTTCTAAAGCCTTTGTTTGTTTACAATTTTTCTTGATTGCTCTGGCACATTTTATGAAACATGCTTAACATTCTCAAGAAGATAAAAGCATTTCTCAAAGCAGTTCATCCATATAGCACATCACTAGCTGCAAAAGCCTGTAACTTACCCAAAACAGTTAATCCACGTGCCACTAAAATGAAAAGCACGATCAGCATTGTTTTAACCATGAGGCTCTACATCACAGTGTGTAAAGTTTACTGGCATGTGAAAGCTCTCGCATGCACATGTGGCTTCTTCAGATCTCAAATCACAGTACAACAGTGAACAAAAAGTCACACAACTGTATAACACAAAAACAAAGACAACAAAAACACAACAATATTTTTTTAAATTATTTTGAAAGCTAACGGTTTCAACTAACACAATAATCACAAACATGTATAGTTTTGGATGTAAAATTATTACTATGGGGAACTACATGATCTGTTTTGACTAACAAGACTAAAGTAACTGAAAATTGTGCCAAATGATGACAATTGTACAAAGCCATTTGCATTTATGTTGAGTGTTCTACTTCTAGAGCTGGATTTTTAGAGGAATAATTACATTTTATTTCCTATGATTTAAACAAACTTGAAAATCACGCAAGAGGCTTTCATGTTGTTAATTTTGTAACACATCTTATTACAAAAATAGATATATTTTTTTCTTTTCATTTTCAGGACAAGACAAGTGCTCTAAGTCTTAGTAATGTAGCAGGAGTGTTCTACATTCTGGTCGGTGGGCTTGGTCTGGCTATGACAGTGGCTTTGATAGAGTTCTGCTACAAGTCCCAAGCTGAAACCAAACACGTGACACTTGTGAAAAATGCTGAACCCTTTGAACCAACTTCTCCAGCAAACACCCAGAATTTTGCAACATACCGTGAAGGCTACAATGTGTACGGGATGGAGAGTGCTAAAATCTAGGGTATGTCTACCAAATATTTTATCTCACTGTCTTGATTGAATGACATAGGATACAGACATGAACAAAAAATTGGTACCATTTCACTTACTAAAAATACACACAATTTTCTGTAAAATAAGTTGAAACTGACAAAAATAATTAAACAATTTTGATTTATGACTTCTTTATCAGACTGTTTATTTTAATTAGTATCACATGAGTCTTCAATATTATAATCAGGTACTTAACTTATTTGAATGGGAAAAAATACTCAACTGATTTTTGTGTCATTGTGTGCATCACACTGAACATGGACAAGAGAAGGAACAGCAGAGAGCTGTCTGAGGAGGAAAGGAAGAAGGTAATAGCCAAGCACGGTCAAGGTAAAGGCTACAAGACCATCTCCAAAGAGCTTCATGTTCCTGTGACCATGGTTGTTAATATTATCAAGAAGGCAACATTCTCCATAGTCACAAGAAGAAAATTAACCCCAGACTGAAGAGGAGGATAGTTGGAATGGTCAAGAAAGACTCAAAGAAAACTTCAGAACAGATCCAGGCTGACTCCCAAGCTCAAGGTGCAACAGTTTCAAGTCAGACCATCCATGGATGTTGTGTGGCTCTTACTCTAATATTGCTCACATTTTTAACTGGGAATTTACTGGAAGCTCATCCTAGCTGCACTTATGCCTAGTCGACACCTCAACAGAACATATGTTTATAATGTGCTATTCGCTTCAATCATACATTGCTTTGGACAAAAGTGTCTGCTAAATTAAAGTAAATGTCAATCCATCACCATCTGAATGAAAGTATGCTCCAAGATAGAAGACCCAGCAGGTGCCTTCAATCTGTTCAGGGCACAATGAATCTGGAAGATTATCCAGGCATCCTGGAGCGAAACATACTAGTGTTAGTGCTATCTAACATACTAGAATTAGATAGCTCTGTCTCAGTTGCAGGTCATTGGTCGTCCAGCAGGATTATGACCCATACAGTAACTTACATCTAAGAGCACCCAAGAATGGATGACAAGAAAACAATGGAATGTTCTGAAGTGGCCTGCTATGGGTCCAGATCTGAATCCAGCTGAACTTTCATAGAAAGAGCTCATACTTGTATTTGGGAGAAGGAATCCATCAAACCTAAGTGAACTGGAGCAGTTTGCTCAAGAAGAGTGGGCCAAAGTACTACAGTCAGTCCTGCTACAATGTGTGATATCACACCATGAATTTGTTCTATCACAATTAATATATTATTACCCAATACAATGTGCTTGCCTGATGTTCAGTTGGAGAGATAAGCATTGTGAATTACAATCCAAGAAACTCTACATACATGCAAAAACAGCTATCAAAGTGAATGATAGTGATTCATGAAAGAATTGTTCTTTTTAACCAGTTCTTTTCAGTGAATTGGTCGGACCAGCTTTTCAAATCTAAAAGATTTTATGGCATCCAGGCATTGCACAGGTCAAAGTCTTAGATCCTTATATTACATTTGATTTTCGTAGTCTGTCTGTAGCCATGTTGCCTTCAGTACCCGTCCGCATACCATCATTCTTTGAATTAATGCCTGCTGCTTGGTGACTGGGGTTCGATAACCCGACTCCTGATTGGCAAACTGATGCTTCATGGACCATTTGCTGTGTTTTCTGACCCATTAGACAATATGCCCTCTGTTCAAAAAAGGGCTCACTAGCGCCATCTAGGGGGGTCAGAAAATACAGCAAATGGTTCAGGAAGTGTTGCTCACTACTCCCGACTCTCTGTAATTGACAGGTGAATGAGTAAAGCACAATCCTATTGGATGTGTTTATTTTAGTACGCGATTTTAGTGAATGCGATGTTTTCAGGAAGCATTAGTCGCGTTGTAGCAGGACTGACTAGTAGTTGAGAAGTATAATATGTCTCATTCAGAGCTACAGAAACTGCTTCATTGCAGTTATTGCTCCAAAATGGTGTGCTGCAAAATGTTAGGAGTCCCAATAATTTTGCTGTTTTCATCTGTTTTATTATTTACAATAATAAATGGAATAAATATGGAATAAATGGCAGATGACAGTTACTTTTGTTAAAATTGTGATTATTTTTTAAAAATTGGGTACCAATATTTTTGCCACATTGTGGCATAGAAGAGGATCAAAGTATAGCAATATAAAAATAACTGCAATGTTAACAGCACAATATGTTCAGACGTTCTCAGGAGAAACACACAATACAATATTTTTTATAGTTGGGCCAATACAATGCCTTGCAAATATATTTATGATTTCAAATGTTGGTGGATTACAAATGTTGGTGGATTACAAATGATGGTGGATTACAAATCATTGTCCACTTGCTATTTTTATTGCAAAGTAACATTGTCAAATACTAAATATTTATAGCAAATATATTGTATTTCTTTGCAGATATTGGAAACTAAGGCTTAAGCTGAAATATCCTGCTTGTACATGAATTCAATTCTGGTTCTTTCAAGTGTATCATATTACTTAAGATGTACTTGCTCTTTGTATATTACTGAATAAAGAACACATCAGTTTCCAATAAAAATATTAACTGGATAGACAAGGTCTATATCATTAAATATCTAGCAAACATTAAAAACTTCTGCATGACACTGTATTTCAATGGCCAGTTATTTAACCTGCATAGGAGTCTGGTTCTCTTTATTTCAAACATTACTCTCTATATGAGTGCCATCATAAAACCAAGTTATTATATGCCAACTGTTATTATATGCTTCCCTTTCAATTTAAAATTTTAAATTTTCAGTAAAGTTGGAAGAGCTACCTCCAGCAAATTTGGAACCCTTTTAGAGGGTAAATTTGATGCAGATAAATCAAATGCCTGGATATATTTTAAGAATTATGAATCCTACTGCAGTGTTTCAGAAGTGCTTTGTAATTAATAACACTTATACTGTATGACTTAAGGCTTTAAAATGTATTTTTGTCATACCAGTTACACCAGTGCAATTGATCAAAGTGAAGGTTTACTCCATACAGTATGAATGAATATAGTGTAAAAAAAGAAATTGTTAACCATTTAGAAGAACATGTTTTGAGATGCTAAAATTTTATTGCAAGGGAAAACTTGCATCGTTGATATTACAATTGGGCATGTATACAGGTACGTCCATAAATATAAAGAACCCCTGATTGTAATTATTTATATATATATACATATATATATATATATATATATATATATATATATATAGTATAACGATCGCGGGCCAAGCGAGCTGGACAGCAGACGATCGGAGCCAGGGAGCAGGGTAAAACTGGGATTTATTCGGAAAACCAGAACTGGGGAAACACGACAGCGAACAGATTATTGGCAAATATGGTTGTGATAACTGGCATTTTAAGAATTTAAGAATAAATGGAGACAGAAAAGAATGTTCTCACTTTTATTTGTTTCACTTACAGCTTAAGAAAACAGTTTTATTTATGTTAATATCCATTGATAACTCTTCAATCAATAAATAATTAATTAGTCTAAAAACCCGCAGGACATAAAAATCATACACGTCATTCAGGTGGGGGCTACACAGTGGGGGCGGCTGAAGTGGCTTTTAGCTTACTCTGTAAAATGCTTTGGGAGTCTTGAAAAACCCTGTATAAATGTAACATTCATTCATTTATCCTCTGAGTGGGTAGATGCAGTGCCAAACCAGATGGCAATATTCAGTGAAAAAAACTGCACTAAAACTGACAGGTGATGTTTATTTATATTTATATATATATATTTATTTATATATTTTAAGGAAATATTCAAAATAAAGAGAGAAATTATTAAGAGAAAAACGTTTAAAACAAAAATATATGTTTTAACACATTATCCATCTACGAATTGCTTATCATTTGTGGTGTGAGTATATTTACATTAAGTCACAGACATGTTCAGTTAGCTTGTGTGGGCGTGGTCACCCTCTGAGACTTTCCACACAGTATGTGCTGTCAGCTGACAGCCTTTGTATCCTATAAAAACATACTGGCTGTATGGCTCAGCTGCAGAAGTTAGAAACACTGTAGCCGCAAGTCACAAGACCGGAATCGTGTTAATGTTGGATTATCCTGGTTTTATCTCACTGTTCTATGTTAGACTTTCCCGTTTGCCATCGGTGTCAAGTTTCGTCTCTTCCTTTTCTTACTCTCACTTCATTGTGCTTTCAGTTTACAATTATTCCCAGCGGCTCCAACAGCTCAGAATCCTGCACCTTCACTTGGACCCTGCCCCTTGGCCGGCAAACCTACTGTTCTCGTTTGCATTCCCTGAATCTGCCCTTTCTGGTTACCTCACCCATTAATTCCAAAATTGGATCCATCTTGTACAACCTGCCTGCTCTCCCACGCAGCTCAGGGCAATTTCCCAATCTGTGTGACAAGCAATTATACAACAGTTGGCAAGGAACAACTCAGATGGAAGCTAATATGGTTCCCCTCCATCTAAAAAAAAAAAACAGGAACAGCAATAAACAGAGAAAAAGGGTTTTTATCCCGTAAACTAAAATAATCGAATTAAATTGGTTCATCCGAACCAACAAACCAAGCAAATATTTTAGTCAAATATTCACACACACACATTTATTTTTACTTAATTTGAATAACATTTGGAATAATACAGCAGTGAACAGTAATGTGTTTTTGCAAACCTGTTGCAACACTTTAAGTAAACATAGAATATTTTGAAATAATATGTAAAACAGTAACAATAAGTTTCAGAGGTTGAATTAAGAAACAAACATTCAACATGCCTTCATTGCCATTATGATAGAGCACATTTACAAGGATTTACAGCACCACCATGAGGCTGTGGATTAAATTGCAGCTGAGGGATTAGTGACTGGAAGTTGGTGTTGACCGTGTATTTCATGGAATGTATATAAATTTGAATTATCAAACAGCACAGGATACATAATTGAATACACTCTACTTTTATTGGTTTGTGGGTGTATTTAAGAACTTATATAAGTATATGTTGTATATATTTAGAAAACTAAGGAATAATTGAATATAGGCCTGTGTTAACCATGTTGTAAATTTACAGTATATGGCATATTTATTTAAATTATGAAATAACACATAATAGTCATAGATTTTTAATTAACCAATTTATGATCTTTATTGGAACGAAAAATAATATATGTGTGCTGCAATGAAAGTCAGATGGTTTGCAAAAATTTAATTTTAGTAGTTGATCATCAGGTTTTCAAGAGGACTGTATTAAATACACAAAACATGTAAGTCAAAATCCAGTTATTAGGCCAAACAAATTGTGAGGATATAGCATGGAAATACCAGAATTGTGTATTTTGGATCAAGATCATGCCATCAGGAATCAATGAAAAAAGCAGAGCAGCCATATTCATTAGTGAGTCAATTTAATTTGTGAAAATTTTATGCAAAATTACTTTTAAGGAGATACAGTACTGCTAAAATCATTATGACCAGGACTATGCAAATTTTAATTACTTTTGCTCTGTGCTGTTACAGCATAACCTATTATGTAGCACATGTATAAAACTATTATAATGCAACAAATGATCAGAATTCCATCCATCCATTTTCTATAACTGCTTATCCAGTACAGGGTCACACCTGGAGTTTCTCTTTGCCGATTGCAGACACACTAACACATTCACCATCACTTACTATAAGCAATTTAGAGACAACAATTTAAGTCAGGTGCCTCTTTTTGGATTGAGGGAGCATCACTGCGGCTTTATAATATCAGGGTTGTGGGCATGAAGAAAATAAAGTCAGTAATTGAACCAAGACAATATAATTTGCAGTTACTTAGATATATAGTATCTTTCTGAACATAATATTAATTAGTTAATATCACTACTTTTCAATCCAAATAAACACAAATAAGATGTTATACTTGATGGAATCATAAATGAAAACTTTAGTAACTTAAAAATGCAGTTCTTATATTTTGTTTTTCCATTTGCAGTCACCCTGCACTCAATACGTCTCAATACGTGATTAGGAGAGGGGTGGCTGGCAGTGATGTTTTGCTTTTATTTGTACATTACTTGTGTAATCACATCTGATTTCTCGATAGGTAAATTAAATGTTTTTGTATTTTTAGATGGGTGTTATAATTTCTGCCTAAGGAACTAACTGGGAATAATATTGGCCATGTATTTTGGTAACAAAAATATATTTAAACTGTATTAGTAAAAGTCTGCGCAATAATTTAAATGTTTGTACAAAATTACTGAGGACAATAACATAATTAAACAAAAAAAATTATGAGGATATAACTGTTCTGCCAAACATCAGTTTTATATACAAACAAATCAGTAAATTCAAGATTATTGGGCTTATTGATCTTATTTTTGATTGTGGAAACACACTGGACCCCATTATGTTTTTCATATGAATGGTAAATGAAATACAAACATTACAATTAATACATCTGTTTAATCATGTATAAACATATTGAATAACTGAATACTATCATAAAATCCTGCCTCTGGAGAAAGTAAACTTTTCTATTCTATCCATTTTCCATAGTCCTTAGAGATTAGAACCAAGCATATCTGCAATCAGCAGGGTGGGTTTTGTAATTTGAATTAATGGAGTGTTCTTGTTTTTAGTTGATTTCACTTCAATGCACAAAGTTCTTTGAACAGTCTTCCATCTGCATGCATTTTGTAAGTAAGGTGTGTGTAAATGCTGAGAATTTAGAAAATATTGCTGTTTTTCAAGGCATAGCCATAAAGAAATAAAAAAATAATGAAAGGATTGAATTTATTAGTGTACTCAAAACATTCTGTATGGGGTCTGATTTTGCTATTCTTTATAAAGCCTTAAGCCACATCAAATTAAATTTCAGAATACCCCATGATAATTCCAAGCAGTCCTTTTTTAACAACACAACTGTTTTATGCTAGATTTTAATGCAATTGTTCTAATTCACATTTACAATACAGGAACATTTACCTTTCAGTAATGCATAGAAGGATGAGTAGATTACAGATTAGGGTGCAAGGTTCCAAGCTCTGTGTTTGGACTGATTTTAGGGTTTTAACAGCAAACTCTGTCACTCTATACAGAAGCATGATGACGCTCAAGCTGCAGGGGAGCAATCCAGGGAATTGTGAAGTAACTGTGAAGGTAAAAAAAAAAGAAACTTAAAATCTCACTGTCTGTACTTTGTTTAAAACTAAACTAGGATGTACAGTATGTACAACATACTATGTAAAACATAAAGTTATAATATCTGGATTTTATTAATCCCAAACAGTAACTTTTAGTACTGATTGAAGAGTGAATTTGGCCACTTAGACATACTAGAAAAATAACCCACAGCTCCCAGTACTCAGTGCTCATTGCCCTATTTGGCTTAGGGTCAACCTTAATTATACATTACTATTTAAGGCGCCATTGAGTCTTTAGCCCATCTTCTCTCTTCTCTTCTTCATCTTATAACTTTTGTTAATTCTTCATTTTGTTTTGGGTTTGGCTTTGGGTCCAGAGGTGGGGGCAGAAGCTGGGGCGGATTTAATGTTTTGAAGCAACAGTTGAAATCTAAAAACAAAAAAAGTCAAGTGTAATATTTAGTGTGTTATTCAGTTGTTTTTTATTTGATACGAGTAGGAGTTTGGTGAAAAGTAAAGATAATGTAAATATGTTAACATTTTATGTGAATATGAATATTATAATGTAATATCCTTATATGCAGTACATCCATCCATTTTCTGTAACTGCTTGTTCTATTCAGGGTCATGGTGGGTCTGGAGCCTATGCTGGAGGCTACGGGCACAAAGCAGGGAACAACCCAGGATGGGGCGCCAACCCATCACAGGGCACAATCACACAGCATTCAGGCACACCTACAGGCAACTTGGTAACTCCAGTTAGCCTCAGCATGTTTTTAGACTGTCGGGGGAAACCGAAATACCCAGGGGAATCCCCATGACGACACGGGGAGAACATGCAAACCCCACACACATGGAACCGTGGAGGAGACTCGAACCCGGGTCCCAGAGGTGTGAGGCGACAGCAATAACTGCTCCATCACTGTGCCACTCTCAATATGGAATATGGGGTATTTAAAAAGATACAGTACCATAAGTTAATTACTTCAGTTAATATAAGGTGCTAGTAATATTCAACAAATCCTTACACCTCAAGTAACAGAAAACATATGTACTTTTTTGTGAGTTGAGTGTCATTGTCTCTCTATGTTGCATGTTCATGTATTAATACTCTACATTTTTGAGGTCATCAAAGTCACAGACAGATCATAAAATATACATTAAATCTTTATAACCCTGCGAGCAACTTATCTAACCTAACCAAATTTTCCCTAACCATTTGTAATAACTTAATTCTTTAATACTTTTGTTTGGAATCTGTAGTTTCCATTATTATTGTTATTATTAAATGGCATTGTGGGTTCTACAGTATTATAAAATTTTTTTAGCAGATGCTTTTGTCAAAAGTGACACAAGAGAAGCAGAACATTACAAGCTGTTATAAATATTGTAATGTACAAAGAAACAGTTGCTATTTCCACATAACCCAAATAACATATGTAGGCCATTTCCAGCGTACAAAGTGGCTTACTTGTGGTAATTTTAGAGGCATCCTGCATGCAGTAGCCTTTATCAAACCAGCTGGCGAACTGGGTAACACGGAGTCCCATTTGGCTGACTTTACCGCCATCAAATGTTATACGGTTATGTGGAGGTGACTGGGCGATAATAGATGGTATCTCCACATATATAAACAGTGTGTAGTCAATGTTTTGTTCAGATTTGATGCATTTGATGCAGAGGTGCCAAGAGTCGCCACCTCCCCAGAAGGCAAAGCTAGAGGTATAAGAAGCTACAATTAGTCATTGTCAACAGACAGAACTATAGCCTGTAGTATCTGGAGCTGTTATGAGAGTTTATGGGTATCCTGTCCTGCTTTAAACATGGCTCTATTGTGGTAGAGGCTTCCGTTGGGGATAAAAGATGTAATAGAGGGATATTCTGACATTTAAGGGCTCTAAGAAACAAATAAGTGGGGTCAATATCTAGTAGCTACAAATTTTTCCCCTTTTTACTATAACCTCTCAACTGAATTGCAGGAAAGGCGATCAGTCAGGTTTGAATGTGGTTGGTGTTGGCCAGGTGACTGAAGAATATGTGAATAGGTGCATTTAAGGTTTCTATTACAAAGAGCAGGAAAACCTGATTTCTGCACTGCAGAAGTGAGGGAAAGTCTTTGTGCTTTGGTGACGAATCTGCAGTGTCATCCAATCCATAAGGAATGTACTTTGCACACAAATGTACAGCAAATTATTGTCTTTAAAATGATATCAATAGCATTATTCATTTCAAACTACTATAATAAGATTTATTTGTCACAAGGGAATGAAGAAAGTACTTACGTATCTTTGATTTTGTTTACGGAAGTCTGGAACTTTGTCACTAATTTGTCAATCTTCTCCTGTAACACAAAGAGGGCTTGGAGTAGGTTACAGTCATCTATACAAGCAGTTCAATATATACATATACTTGATTTTATGCAGCTGTGGCAATGGGTCTGAATGAAGCACCTGAATTCTATGATTTAGAGGTGTATCCCAATGCTTGTCTGTTTTGCTTATTGTGCTGCCCTGTGAGTCACACATTTTCTTTTTATTCAGAAAAACCAGTGAAACTTGCTCAGCTTGCTGATGCGTATTAGCAGAATGACTTTTATTAATCAGAAAAATGAAAAACAATTTACAGACCAGATTTTATAATGATTCTTTTGCAGGGCCGGTACTTTTAAACCCCTTAAGTGGTGAATGAGCAGACTAGGGTCAGTTCTTACTGCACACAAGAGTGGGCTCGGTGCAAAACACAATGAACATTTCCACAAAATGAAATAAAACGTAATACGAAAATAAAAAAACTACAACCAAATGAGAAATACTTTGTTACCATTTTTGAATACTAATTAGCCAACGTATTGATTTTGATTGTGTAATGCACTTGAACCATAGAAATAGACAACGACACCATATTGTGATGTTATGTATTATTTAGCAAAGTTCTACAAGTTTCTGTCTATACCTAGAATCAAAATGACTAAAGTTTAAAGTAAGATATATAACAACCAAATACATTTACATTTTTAAAATAGAAACAAATGAAGCCATACCAAAAACTAAAACTAAACTTGACTTCAAATAGAAATAATAAATGCTAAAACTAAATTTAAAAATCAAAATGATACTAACGCAAAAATACAGATACCCTATATTGCCAAACAATAATTGAATTCAGGTGTTCCAGTCACTTCCATAGCCACAGGTGTATAAAATCAAGCACCTAGGCATGCAGACTGCTTCTACAAACATTTACGAAAGAATGGGTAGCTCTCAGAAGCTCAGTGAATTCAAGCATGGTACCGTGATGCCACCTGTGCAATAAGTCCATTTGTGAAATTTCCTCGCTGCTAAGTATTCCATGGTCAACTGTTAATGGTATTATAACAAAATGGAAGCAATTGGAAACAACAGCAACTCAGCCACGAAGTGACAGGCCACGTAAAATCACAGAGCGGGGACAACGCATGCTGAGGCGCACAGTGTGCAGAAGTCGCCAACTGTCTGCAGAGTCAATAGCTACAGAGCTCCAAACTTCGTGTGGCCTTCAGATTAGCTCAAGAACAGTCCGTAGAGAACTTCATGGAATGGGTTTCCATGGCTGAGCAGCTGCACCCAAGTCTTGCATCACCATATGCAATGCAAAGTGTCGGAAGCACGCCACAACTGGACTCTAAAACAGTGGAAATGTGTTCTCTGGAGTGAGGAATCACACTTCTCTCTGGCAATCCGATGGACGAGTCTGGGTTTGGAGATTGCTAGGAGAACGGGGTACCTGCCTGACTGCATTGTGCCAAGCGTAAAGTTTGGTGGAGGGGGGATTATGGTGTGGGGTTGTTTTTCAGGGGTTGGGCTTGGTCCCTTAGTTCCAGTGAAAGGAACTTAAATCTGCAGCATTCAAAGCCATTTTGGACAATTTCATGCTCCCAACTTTGTGGGAACAGTTTGGGGATGGCCCCTTCCTGTTCCAACATGACTGCGCACCAGAGCATGAAGCAAGGTCCATAAGGACATGGATGAGCGAGTCGGGTGTGGAGGAACTTGACTGGCCTGCATAGAGCCCTGACCTCAACCCGACAGAACACCTTTGGGATGAACTAGAATGGAGACTGTGAGCCAGGCCAGACCTCACAAATACTGTCCTGGATGAATGATAGAAAATGCTTGATTTTATACACCTATGGCAATGGGCTTGAATGAAACACCTGAATTCAAAGATTGAGAGGTGTATCCCAGTAATTTTGTCCACTATACTGTAGCTTTAATGCCATTCACATATGACGTTTCTCTGTTTTGGCCCACAGAACTGTTGCTGACTGAATGTTTTTTTTTGTAGTGCTGTAGATCCATAAACTTTCGATACTGCACAACACGAAATTCCCAGGAGGGATTTCTGAGAGATTGGCACCAGCGTGTCTGGCGCTAGCTGTCATTATACTGTAATGTTTAAAACCACTTAGAGCACATGCCTTAGCTCTTCCAATTCTTACAGTAGGTGCATCGTAATTGAGCCTGTAGAATTTCTCTTCATGCTGTATACATTTAATTCCACATAATTTTCTGTTTGGAGAAGGAGACTTTTTGTGTTACGATGCCGGTGTACTTAAATTCACCACTGAGTGTGCATGAATATTGATATTTATTTCTGTATTATTTTAATTTTTACAGTACTTGAAATGTGGACAGGGTCTTACCTGTTGTTGCCTGTAGAACAAGGGGAGTGAAAAGAGCGATATCACACCTAAAGGTGGATCAGAAGAATTTAACAATTACCACCTATATAACTCCAATAAGATTCAGTCTTGTTTTGAAACTGCTGTCCTTCTTGAACAAAGCAATCAATACCATGTAAGCACATGGCGGCTGTGTTCCTGAAAATGACAGTGTAACGACAGTGTAATGACAGTGTAACGACAGTGTAATGACAGTGTAATGACACTGACTCAGAGTCATGTGGTTCAGCAAGAAAAGGTATGTTGAGGAACGGTGTCAAGAAAGGAAGGCGAATGCAGATTGTGTACAGCACCTTACCAGCAATCATCAGCGTGAGGCCATTGCAGCGCACTCCCACGTAGGTCAGCAGGTAAACCAGGACAATGAACTGCCAATCCACAAAAAAATACAGTTTATGGACCGATATTTCTGTATGACATACTTGTGTTATGTGTAACATTTACTTAAACTTCTGCAGTTACGTTTAATTTTTTTAAGGAATATGTACCAGATCCAGGAGACTGTTGCTTGATAAACTTTGTCTGTTTGATAGCTTGCCAGCAGTAATTATAACTTTTGTGCGGCTCACATAGATCCATTTACTCAGGTTGGTGTTGTTGGTTAAATTGGTTTATGAATGACAACTAAATAATGTAAATAACATAGATACTGTAAGCACATATGCCGTGTGTGGGCTATCCCAGGATGCAGAGAGCACGCCCTGAGGATACAGGCCAAACACACACCCAATGCAGGTGGTTTAGAGACTCCAATTCATCCAAACCACACATCTTTGGACCAGGGGGGCAAATGACAGGAAAACCACCCGCACACAGGAAGAACATGCAGTAGAGTTTTGTACGGCCTGAAATAAAATCCCAAGTCTGGCCCACTCCCGAGACCTTGAGACTGAACCCTACCCAGTCCAAATAGTACTAGTAAATCTAAAACCAACTAATGGAGGGAGATCTACTGTTACTGGCAAAGGACCCAGCAAGCTCAAAAAGCAATTTAAGCCTAAGAAGCGAACTCAAACCCGAACCGAGCCCGAACTTGAAAACCTGACCCGTACCCTGCCCGAAACCCAATACTTTGTAGCGGTCCGTCGGGCTCGGCTCGGGTCACAGACCTCTAACATCCAAGCTCCATGTGGACAGAGTTGTAGCAGGGATCAGAACCACAGCCCGGAAGGTGCTAGGCCACTGTACGACCCACTAAGCTGCTCTGGCCCATATAAAAATATGCATTTTGTGATATTGATACCAAACCTTTATGGAGTCATAAATACTGCCAACAAAAAAGAGATGCTTCATTTCCGTTACGGCAGTGGCCCCCATCAGAACGATTGTTTCCACATGGCGCACAGTCTGTTCGTCAGTCAGAGAGAGGTCATATTCCAGATAAGACCTAAAGAAAGACGGCAAGATAACCTGATACAGACAAATTGTTAAACGCAGCCACAAAATAAACTGCAGCATGGTGAATATAGTACTCACTTGAAGGGATGGACTACGTTTCTGAAACGTAGCAGCTCCAGGGCCTTGAAGAGGAGGCGGACTGGGAAGGTGAAACACATAACTGTCAAGCAGAGGTTGGATACCACAGAGATGGCGCTATACTGGAACATGCAGAGCAAACCTATGACCAGCCCTGTGAACACAGTGCCAGTCTTCTCCAAGTCTCGCCAGTAGATCAGGTCCATTACTGCCACAAGAGGATGGATAGAGAGAATGAAAATATCACACAGAAAAAAACACAGGAAGCTCTGGACAATGAAAGATATCAGCTCTCAGATATATACTGTATGCAGTATTTATTACAATAATAATTGATACTTTATTGATGCCAGTGGGGAAATTCTCTTTATGCCCCCTGTTGTGAAGGGCAGCCACCCACAGCAGCACCCAGAGAGCTGGGGGCTACGGGCCTGGCTCAAGGACCTGTAGATGTGCCAAGGCCAGACTTGGACCTGCAACTTTCCAATCACAGGCACTGAGGCTTAGCCCGCTGGACCGCAGATTGCCCCCAAATAGTCTCTTAAAAGAGGCATTGGGTTAAGTTTTCAACCAGCAATAATCATGCCTCGGTTAAACCTTATAGGCTACGATCTTGTCACTGCACAAAAATACTTATTTACTCTGAGGTACATATTTATGCTGAGGAATAATTCACGCTTTTAAAATGACAATTTAAATTTTTAGTCTCAAGATTATGTTTAACCCTTTAAGTTTAAGAAGGATGGTAGTGCTGTTTAATACAGTGACGATCCTCGGGGGTGGGGGCTCAGCCCCCTGAAGAAACATGGGACATCACCCCACCCATGATTAAATTTGTCGAGAGAAGCGCGGGGGGGGGACTCCACAATATAGTTTGCCAAGCTGGGGGTATGGAAAGCTATTTTTCAGGGGGCTGAGACAAAATATAGCCCCCCCCTCACTCATAAATAGAGCCTAGCAGTCTTAAAGGAGAAGGAAGGAGGACCTGAAATTCAAGCCATGCTTAATATAACTGAAGGAGATGGGAGTAGAGCCAAGAGGAATGGAGAAGGAAGCAGACACTGCATGTGGCCTCCAGCAAGCACCTGCTGCCAGGCTTCACTGTCACTGCTCCCACTGCTGATCACTGCTGATCACTGCTCAGTCTCTCACCAGTGAATGCAACTTACGTTATGGCACTTTATTTACACTCAGTCTTATGTGCCCAGATGGTCATTCTGGTAGAACAGTTCAGCAAATCTATTCTAAACTAGCAATCACTCTTTATTTCAAGAGTGGTTTCGAACCTAACACCCCTATGCGCCATTTGTTATTAACTGCAGCCAACATGACTGAAGCTTCTAGAAAATAGTCATTATAAAATACCATTTCTTCCTTTGAAGAACCCCATTTATTTTCAGCACATGTCTATAAAAGAACATGTCATATATGGTTATAAAACTGGAAACCATATGAAAAAGTGATGAAATAAATAACATTTGTGTACATAGTACTTACATTTAGCTGCATAAAGGTTTAAAGTGATAATTTAAAGAAGTAGTAGATAAATTATGCCAATTTATTTTCTTCTATATATCTCTGGAAAAAAGCATCAAAATTAGTTAAAATTATAAAATGCAAATTATGATGCCATAAACTATAATGTAGTGAATGCTTTCAATACTAATATAGAATTAGCATTGTTACCTCAAAGTTATTGGGTAAAACCTATATCAGGAATTCCACAGTATTTTGTATTAAAAAATAATATGTTAATTTTAAATTATATTTATGCATATCTTTGCATTTGCAGTTTTTTTTTTTTTAATATGGCTACATCTGTCTTATGGAAGAAAAGCAGACATTTGTGTCACCTGTAGCAATATCCGTGTGTCAGGCATTCAGAAACTTGTATATGCACAAACATGCTAATGAGCATTCGTAATTGATAAAAAAAAACACCAAAGATATTTATTAAAAAAGCATGTGCTCATGTTGCATATATTACATTTTTGTATTTTTAGAGGTGAGTCAAACATTCCAAAACGAAAATAATCTCAAAAAATTCCTACACAAGATCAACATGTTATCTTTAAAAAACATTGATGCGTAGACTTTTATATCATACAAGCTGTTCAATCACTCTACAGAAAGTGCAAACCAGTAACAGAGAATTCGACAATTAAAACTTTGAAATCCTTCCATTTTTCCAACTTCAGTCTCTTTTAGTACAATTATATAATCCCCCTTTTTTCCACACACATGGGAATATTATATCAAGTACATCTTTTGATTTGATGACCACATGAAAGAAGTTTAAGCGTCAGCCTAGAGAGGAACACCTTCAATGCTAGTCTGCCTTTAAAAGGCAGAGCACAGATTATTATAAGTTGCAGCTTTGTCAGTGAAGTTTTTTTTAAATCTACTGATAATCCAATACTCCCAAGTTGAATTTACAAGTGGTGCTCACCTTTGCTGGACATTTTTGCAGCTCTGTCCGTAGAGTGCTTTCTGCCTCCCCACTTCCCCCTGAACCACAATCTGTTTATGGGCTGCCTTAGTCCTGTCAGCAGTACGCAACCAAATGGGACTAAATATATCTTTACATAATACCAAACATATCCTGTCACTCGATTATTTATCATCTTGCTCTATCAAACAATTGATTGCTATTGGTTAAAATAGGTCACATGAACCTTTTTATCATTTTTTTTTCCAAATAAATAATTTAATAATGCATAAAATAAAAATATGAAATGATACATATTTGCCATTTAAAATCTTTTAAATTGTGATTTTTTTTTTGTAATTTAAAAACAAATCACAAGCTTTGCAAGCAGAAGGGGCCTGAAAATTTGAGAAGCTTCATGATTCAAATTAGGCTGTGTCCACACAAGAAAATTTACATTTACGTAAATTTTTTTAGCAAACAACTTTTTTGTCCAATGTGATGTACAAGTGAGGCGAATGGCACATAGCAAGCATACAGCAGTCAAAGATCCCACTACGCTGAGCTTCTCGATCCCGAGTTTCAAGCATAAGTAGTATTTGAGCAAAAAGCCAAAGTTCAACAATAAGAGCATGCAGGGTATAGGTACCAGCATGGAGTGGTGTAGGTTGGTACTGTAGATGTGTCCCTAGAACAGATGTGTATTTCTTGAAGATTGAAAGGAATCTGATCACTGGATTTGGGTTGGCAGCTGATATCACCGTCAGGGAATGTTTAGAGTAAAACTTCTCATGTGCTGGAAGGATCTCTGAGGGGTGTTGGCTTACTGACCGAAGAGGGCGAGATGGGATGTATCGCTTGAAGACCATCTTGATGGAGATGGGTGCCAGTCCATTAGTAGCTCTGAAAGCCAACACCAAGGACTTAAACTTGACACGAACACCTATATGGAGCCAATGAAAAAAGAGAAAGAAAGAAAGAAGTGCATAACATGGGAGCATTTGAATACCAGAAATGCTACTGCATTTTGAAACATCTGAACCAGTTTGACAGCACAAGCTGGTAGTCCTATATGTAGTTTTAGTTGACAAGGACCTGGACTAGAACCTGGGTTGCATACTCAGTCAAATAAGGTCCGATCTTCCTGATTTTATACCAGGTGAATGTACAAAATGTACAAAACTGGCGTGACGGGGCGAGCCAAGTCGTGGCAAACTTAGTTCCACCCAACTCACCAGCCCTCACAAAGCAGATTACACCACCCCAATTTATCGAAGGGTAGGGGTTCCCTTAACAATCTCTAATAATTGAGGAGACTGTGGTATACTGCAAGGTGTTTTTATTATACAAAACAATAATAATCAGAAGATACTCGCAAAAGGAAAATCGCACAAGACTAACTGACCCAACCCACCACATCAAATGGGACACACTGCAAACACCACAAGAACAAGTTCACAGCACTCCAACCACGAGCATGATTATTCACCGCAGTAGGTTAATCCGTGCAACACACTTCCTTGCAGGGGTCTCTAAAAGAACTAGCTGGGTCTGGGCCAATTATAAAATAAAACAAAAAGGAAACATAGAAAAAAGCATGTAATTAGAGACAGACTAAGCCTCGCCGTGTGGAGGGCGTCACAGAATAATAAGTAACTAAAAACACAATATGTACCGAATAAGGAATCCAGCACCTTTTAAAACCCAGCACTTCCCACAAGCCCGCGTAACTGCCGAATGCAATTTATAAAACACAAACACAAAATAAAACACAGGCTGAGAAAACAGTGGGTCGCTCGCAATTCCTAAATCACTGGGGCTACCGCAACTGGACCAGCACTCGGTAGTTTCACATCGGCTACCCCCATACCTTCTTCTCGTCCGCCTCCACAGTTCATCCGTAAGGAAATCCTAGTGGCTAAAACTGTCTATGAACTTGAGCGAGTTCTCCAAATGATTCCCCAATCTCAACTGTGTAAAAGCGACAAGGTAGTCGATATCAAACCATGAGCATGTGTACTTGTGGCGGCCGCCATCTTGAAATACCCTACAAGGGCGGAGTTTCCCCATGTCAGCCACCACCTGCCCTCCTACACTGGGAGATTTTTACCCATTGCCCTTACTTTCCTGGCAGACCTGTGAATGATCTAAGCTGTACAGCATTGTCATGGTGGATGGTTGGATTTGCAGGAAGGACAAGAAGCTTAAAGAGATTCAGATGGTGATGGTGATGTCTCAAACAGGCTGCAATGTCGACAAGGTCTGAGTAGATCACACGGTATCATCAGAAGGGTAGGTCAAGTAAAGCTGGATGTCACTAGTGTAGAAGTGGCAAGATAAGTCATGTGACAGGATGATTGGCCTTAGAGATGTGATATACTGTATATAGAGAAATCAAGGGGACCAAGGATTGAACCTTGGGGGTGATTAACTGTTATGGGAATGATTTGATTGATAGATGAAAGTCAAACTGTCTCATAACAGTCCTCGTGATGCCAAACTGAGAAGGTCAACAGGAGGATTTATTGATTTACCGTGTTGAAGGTTGCAGAGAAATCTAGCAGGAATAAAACAGATGACCAAGATGTAGCTCTCAGAGGATCTACAACCTCCACAAGAGCAATTTCAGTCGAGTGTCCAACTCAGAAGCCAGATTGGTGAGGGTCCAGGAGGTTGTTCTGCATGAGTAAGTCAAAGACCTGAATGAAGTTAGTACATTCAAGAGTTTTAGACAGAAATTAAAGGAAAGAAACTGGCCAATAATTTTCATTTTGAAATGGTATAAGTTGGGTGTTTTTAGCAGCCCAGTTGCATGAATCTACTTGAATGTAAAGATGTTAGTGTAGGAAAGAAGGGGGGAAGTGGATCAAGGGTAGAAGTGGTGGGTCTATAAGTGAGAAGCTTGGAGACATCAGAGATGGTGAGGCGGGTGAATGAGGGGAGAAGGAAGTTGTGTATGTGTTGAGTGCAGAGAGCCAGCTGCCAATAGCATAGCATTCAGAGTGGCAGGTGGAGGGGCAGTTATAGGGTGAGGAAGGTGTTGAAAGTAAAGAATAATTTGTGTGGGGATGAATGTTTGTATACATGTCGTGATCTTATCATGGTAGTTTGTGGTTTTCGCAGCAGTGACGGAGGCAGAAGTGACTGGTACTCAGTCAGATCCCTGGGTTGTCTTGTCATTGTCATTTCCTTTCAGCAGAAAGCATGCTGGTCTGGAGCAGCGGTAAGGACAGAGTAGAGTATATCAGGGGTTCCATTAACATCAAGTGAAGTAGGGATGTGCATCTCCATCACTGAGGCTGATGCTATACACATCTCCATGCATTGGCGACAATCTGATACATTAAAGATATAGATGAAGGAACTACTATTGCTATATGATATGATTCACCCCTATTGCGATGCAGTGCGATTTGATGCAATTTGATTCAACGCAATGTAATTCGACATGATACAATGTTATGAAAAACAATATGAAGCTATACAATTCAATGTGGTAAATTTACTAAATGTAGTATCATTGGTCCAAAATTATTGGTCACATTTATAAATAATAAAGGCATTGGGTTTCTACTAATAGTTATATATTAATACATAGGATTTTACCATTGCAAAGTTAGAAACAATGCATCCTGAGTTCATCCTAAATTGTATCCAGTACATACTTTTTTAATTAGGGAAATCGCATCATGAACTTGTATACCGGTGCACCGATGCGAATCGATGAATCTTACCATCCATAAAGTGAAGAGAACTCCTCAGGAGAGGAAAGAGCAGATGGAACAGAGGCAGTGAAGCAGGTGTGGGAGAGAAGAGCAAAGATCAGGAGGGTGAGAAAGAGGCCTGTGGTTTTGCTGAAGTGTGTGTTCAGGTCCCCAGAATAATACGTGATGAACCATCATCAATGATGCCAGACAACTGCATATCCGGCTCTTTGACAAAGTTTCCTAGTCAACCTGGTGGCCACTAAATAGCAACAATATCCAGTTTGACAGGGTTAGTAATAGTAACCGCATGGTACACAAATGGAGAGTAACTACAAGGAGTAAAGAGAGGAGTATATTTCCAGGTCTTGGAAATGAGCAAACCTGTCCCCCCACCCCACCCAGTAAAACGGGAAGTGTGGGAAAAAGAGAAGTGGGCACATTGGGAGGGCATCATCTCAGGGCAGATAGGGAGGGCATCATCTCAGGGCAGATAGGGAGGGCATCATCTCAGGGCAGATAGGGAGGGCATC